AATTGTTTTCTCTTTTCTTTGTTGAACAGGGTCTGTAGAGCTTATCTGCCTCTTCCACCATCTTACCAAAAATCTCCACTTGAATGAATTTTGCAGAAAGCAACCTATAAACCTGGATAAGATTTTTGTCTTGACACCCTCAACTTTGATCTAGAGAGAGAAGTCTGTCTGTTTTTGTTTTGTTTCTCTGCCTGCCGTAAAGTTGGAGGATGAAGCTGACAATTGCCAGTGTTTTCATGAAGTTAAGTCTCAGTTCTTTCCTCTTCTAGAAAGTGGCTTCCCATGAGTGCCTATCTTTCTAAATGACATGATTCACTAAGGATGATTTGGACCTTCAGTAATAACTCTGAGAAACCTTGATATAAATTAATTACTTTGAAAAATAAAAAACAACTCACTGCCATTGAGTCGATTGTGACTCATACTGATCTCTCTTTGGGTTTCTGGGGCAGTATCTCTATGGAAGTAGATTGCTCAATCCTCCTTCTGAGGAGTGGCTGGTGGGTTTGAACCACCAGTCTTCTGGTTAGTGGTCAAGTGCCTTAGGCACTACAATCCATCCTTTTTTCAGTGTAGTTTTCAAATTAATGAGAGCTCTGGTGTTGTTACATTGTGGGGATTACAATCAATGTCATGAAAAGAAAATTGTATGGATTGTTGAACAGAAAATCAATTTGTTCTGTAAATTTTCACTCATATCACAATAAAAAGTTGTTTTTTTTTTTTTTTAAAAAAAAAAAAAAGCACTGGCTTAGATCTAAAAAGGAAAAAATCAAAAATCCTGGCCAAGAAAGGCACAATATATCAAACAAGATGATTACAGCCTATATTGTTGGAGAATAAATTGAAAGGAACCTCATTCTCTAAGATGAGAGGAGATGTATGGAACGTAGGTGAACATGGGCTTTGGAGTTAACCTGAATTAGAATCACATCTCTGCCTGTAAGTAGCTTTGCAATGCTTCAGCAAGTGGATCTTCTCCTTAAGGTGTCTGTTTCTTTTTTGTTTCCCCAAGGTTCAATAGGATTATTGTGAAGAATAAATTCGATGAGTAATGTAACCATATTGCCAGATACCAGCAAAAAGTTAGGAATAAATGGATGTGTAAATCTCTAGACAAGTTGATATGGAGGGAAAGATAGATGTAAATGAATAGGTAAATGATAGAATTTTCAGAATTTGAAGGTAAAGGAGAAAAGGTTCTTGGTTCATCTGGAAGTGTCTTTTCTCTGTAAAGAAGAGGTGACATTTTCCATGAAAAGTAATCTGGGTGAGGTGAGGTCTGATAACTAAAGACAATGGGTAAAAGAAAAGAAGTGGTATGGGAATAAGTAGCAACAAGACATTAAATTAGAGACTCTTCTGAAGGAAGGTTGGGCAATCTCCTTCCATAGTGATACCACCTCAGAAACCCAAGGAGGGGTCGCTATGAGTCAGATCCAACTTGACAGCACATAGCAACAACAACAGTGGAGATAAAGTTTGTTCAAGGAACCAAACCAAACCTATTGCTGTTGAGTGAAATTGGACTCAGGGCCATCTGTACAGAGCAGAACTGATCCCTAGGATTTTCTTGGGTGTGATCTTTAGGAAAGTAGATTACCAGGCCTTTTTTCCTTGGCACCACTATGTGGGTTCAAATTGCCAATCGTTAGGTTACTAGTTGAGCAAAATTGTTTACACCACCAGGGACTATTGTTGGAGTATAACAAGTAGAGAAATTGATAGGCTAGGATGTTGGCATAAATGTTGGCATGCTGGAGTTTCCCAGGATGGTGACAAAACAGGGCTTGAAACCATTCATTCTGACTTGACCCCCTGCTTATAATTTGCATATCCATCCCAGATATAATGAAACAGAATCTATATTTTAACAAGACTCCCACATGATTTTTACATATACATGAGATCTATAAGAATCACCTGTGGATCTTGTTAAAATACAAATCCTGATTCAGTATATCCAGGATGGAAATGTAAATTCTCAGCATGAGGTCAAACTGGAATGAATCAGTTCAAAGCCCTGGATAGAAATTAATCTCCTAGAAATGTAAAACTTTTGAGAAACAGGAGAGACCAGGTGACTTCAGAAGGCAGAGGAGTCTTGGAAGACTGGACCATGCTTTGGATTTGGCAAGAATGTTAATCAGATCATCTGGAATGTGGTAGGTCATATGACCTACCACATTTGGCAAACGCCATCATATCTTTAGAATGCCAGAACTTCTTGTTCTCATGATGAAGCCACAGGTACAGAACCTTCTGGCATGTTCCTGGAGCATGAAAGATCAGAGTGGCTGTTTCAAGGGAATGATCAAACTTAGAAATAACCTATATGCAAACCCATGGAAAGGAAGTGGTCACTTAACTGAACAAGGAGTCTGAAGCTTGGCCTTGCCTTCTTTGCTCCAGGCGTTCCAGGACACAGAATCACAGAGCAGCAATTCATTCTGCCCTGGGGTAGCTGTGAACCCAGTGTGATTGCACCAGCCTCACGCTTTGCTGCCTGCCACCTCATTCAGGTAACTTCTCCTCATATCTTCTATCCATACCCCACATCAGTGAGATCTCTTCAGTTTTCCTCTCTGTAAGGGAGTTTTCTCTTTGTTTTTTCTTCCAGCACTCTCTTATTTCCTCACACATGAGAGTATTCATTCCTAATATAGCTCTGTGTCATTTCTATGCATTCCCACCAACTATAATTTTTAGGACAAGGTGGATACAATAGAGCATGAGGGGGTTGAAGAAATGAACTTGAGAAAGTATTTTCTCTCTGAACCTAAATATTTCCATCCCTACAAAGAAGAGTTTGGCTAAGTAGATAAATTGCCAATTTAATATATTTAAACTCTTTTTTCTTATATTCATAGAGGTTTACCCTCTTAATATCCAACAAACTTGGTACTTTTTTCAGAGGTCCACACCACAACACTGATAAGTGTTGGAGCTAGGATATGAACTCAGATCTCTCTAACTCTAAGCCCCTTATGGTTTGCAGCATCTCACTTATTTCAATAAATCAGTTCAAAGGAAAATGTGATCCAAAGGGGGGAGGATAGAATATATATATACATGTACATATACATATATATGTTTGT